GGGTGGAGAGAATGGTGCGGCAATGAAGGAGTGAAAGCCCAGATTCCCTGTGAATGTTCATTGAAACTAATAAAATTTAATAATAATATATAAGAAAAAAGAAAAGAAGAAAAAAAAGAGTATTAGCTATTGTGAAGGGTATTGTTTTTCTTAGCTCCAGCTTTGTATTCTCTTTGTCACTGTAGAAAAATCCAATTGATTTTTGTATGTTGATCTTGTATCCATCCTGCCACTTTGCTGAATTGGTCAACTATGTCCAATCGTTTTCTTGTAGAATCTTTAGGGTTTTCTAAGTACACTATCATATCATCTGCATAGAGAGATAATTTTGCCTTCTCTTTGCCAGTTTGGATACCTCTTACTTCCTTCTCTTGTCTTATTGCTATCGCTAAGATGTCCAATACAATATTGAACTTATTCAATATTAAATACTTGGGAGTAAGTATCCAGAAGCACAAAGGATCTATTTAAAGAAAATTACAAAACATTATTACAGGAAACAGAAAAAGACTTTGAGAAGTGGAAGACTATCCGTCCCTTGCTCATGGATAGGAAGACTCAATATTGTGAAAATGGCAGTACTACCAAAGGCAGTTTACACGTTCAGTGCAATTCCAGTACAAATATTCTTCCCATTCTTCAACGAGATGGAAAAGGCAATCTCCAGTTTTATTTTGAAGATAAAGAAGCCCTGAATAAGCAAAGCACTCCTTAAAAAGAGAAACAAGGTAGGAGGCATCTCACTCCCTGATTTCAAATCTTACTGCACTGCAGTGGTGGTCAAAACAGCATGCTACTGGTACCACATAGACAGACACATAGATCAATGGAATAGAATTCAGAACCCGGAAATCAGCCCATCTACGTCTCATCAACTGTTTTTTGACAAGGTGAAAAGTCAATTAAGTGGGGAAATGACACCCTTTTTAACAAATGGTGCTGGCAGAATTGGAAAACTATCTGAAGAATACTCAAGCAAGATCCACACCTCTCTCCATACACAAAAACCAATTCAAAGTGGATCGTGGAACTTAGAAGTAAAACCAAGGACTGTAAACTTCATTAAAGAAAACCTTGGAAGAACTCTAAAAGTCCTAATCCACAACATAAACTGTCTTCCAAGTATCCTGAAAAACCTACAGTCAGGCGAGGATAAAATAGATGACTGGGACCTTCTAAGAATCAAATCCCTATTCACATCCAAAAACTTCTCCAACAGGGTAAAAAGGGAAGCCACAGATTGGAGGAAAAAATATTTGTTAATGATGTGTCAGACAAGGGACATATATCTTGAATTTATAAAATACTTGAGCACTACAACAGGATAAAGGTAAACAACGCAATTGCAAAATGGGCACAGGATATGAACAGACACGTCACCAAAGAAGACATTCAGATGGTAAACACATGCAGAAATGTTCAAAATCCCTAACTCTAAGAGAGATGCAAATCGAAACAACTATGAGATATCTTCCCACCCAAGTAAGATTAGCAAAATTCAACAGAACAGCAGACATCAAATGTTGGTGAGGTTGTGGAGAAACTGGAACCCTTATTCACTAATGGTGGGAGAGTAAAATGGTGCAACCTCGATGGAAGGCAGCATGGCACTTTCTGAAAAAGTTGGAAATAGAAATATTATTTGACACAGCAATTCCACTACTGGGAATATACCCCAAAGAATCCATAACTGCTACCCAGGCAGATACATTCACACCCATGTTTGTCGTGGCTTTGCTCACAGTAGCAAAGAGTTGGAAACAACCTAAGTGCCCATCAACAAATGAATGGATAAAGAAGCTGTGGTATATTCACACAATGGAGTACTATGCTGCATTGAAAAACAAGGAACTCATAAAATAGTATACAAAATGGGTGACCCTGGAGGACATTATACTGAGTGAAATATCTCAGTCACAAAAGGACAAATACTGCATAGTGCCACTGTTATAAAACAAGACTGACATCGTGTTTGGGACAAAAATGGGATAAATTATGTATACTACATTGAAGCAGATGAGGGAGAAAACCGTATAAAAGGGATACATGATTAGGTATTATTGTCATGACGGGAGTCCAGAACGAAGGCTCCATAGTGGAGAGGACTTGTGGGGAGGGATTGTATAACAATGAAAGCATTTTTATTTTTCTTTTCATAGAGAAGAGCGAATTGGTGGGGAGGGGTGGCAGGGAGAAAAGTGCAACAGTCAATGAATGGAAATCCAAAGTCTCTGTAAATTTTCATTTAAATAAATATTAATTTAAAACAACAACCAAAGAAAGTGTGTTGCAGTCTAGAAGGCACAAGGTTAAAATCCATCAGATGCTCCCCTGGAGAAGGAGGGCAATCTTCTCCTGTGCCAATTGGATCCAACTCAATAATACATAACAAGGAAAAAAAATATAGAATATTTTGGTCGTGTGATAAATGAGCTATCACAGAACTTGGATTCTCAGACACTCTAGAACAGGGTTAAAGAATTCACAGCAACATTGAAAGACAGTAGAAATGGTGTTTTTTTCTTAAAGGTGCTCACTGGTGATTGTCTTTTAGGAGAATGAGATTCTGACTGAGCAGGAGGAGCTTGTAGCCATGGAGCAGTTTCTGCGCAGACAGATCGCCTCAGAGAAAGAAGAGATAGAGCGTCTGAGAGCGGAGATTGCAGAAATCCAGAGGTAAAGGGGAGGCCAGCAGGAGTCTCTATGTACAAGAATAATGTGCAAACTTTAAGATTTTCATGTAAAAGCATTTGGCTTCAGAAATTATTCATGTTTAAGGATCTTGTTTGTAAGGTCTTAAGAAGAGTGTTATAGTAAGTGATTTTATAAAAACTAGACCCATATAAAGGCATAGTGATTCTTAGCAGAAGCCTTTCCCTTTCTTTGTTTGTTGGTAAATCCTCTGTGGCTCTCTCACCCTTTCAGTCGTCAACAGCATGGTCGAAGTGAAACTGAGGAGTATTCCTCTGATAGTGAGAGTGAGAGTGAAGATGAAGAGGAACTGCAGATCATCCTGGAGGATTTACAGAGACAAAACGAGGAGCTGGAGGTGAGTTTGGGTTGTACTAACACCTAAAATGCACTCACAAAAACTCATCACCAGTGTTTTGGAACCAATGCATAGCTGACCCTTTAGTGGGCTTTCAGAGGCTGTAAGTCTCTTGGGAGGGGATTGCCCATCTTTCTCCCATAGAGCTCCTGGTGGATTCAAATAATCTGATCCAGGGAGCACGTATTTCCCTTTAGATCTCTTTCTATTTCTCTCATCACCAGCCAGGAAAGCTGAGCAGATAGGAATTCAGGGGAAGATCTTACCCAGAACACAGCTGGCTATGGCTAAACCAAGGGCCAGCAGGCAAGGGGAAACCTCACCCAGGACATGGTTGGCTACGGTGGTCAAGCCAAAGACTGGTGGTCAGGGGAACCTCACATAGGACACAGCTGGTTATGGCCACACCTAGGGGTAGTGGGTGGGGGAACCTCACCCAGGACACAGCTGGCTACGGCCACACAAGGCTGGCAGGTGGTGCAGATCTCACCCAGAACACAGCTGTCTGCAGCCAAGCCAAGGGCCAGAGGGCGTCCTTCTGCAGTTCACTCTTGGCTCTTCTCAGTCTAATGCAGAGGCAAGGTCCTTTCAAGACTTCAGCCTGTCAGCCTTAACTTTTCTCTTTCCAATGTAAAAGAGAAATTCACTTAACTTTGCCAATTTAACTTGAATCATGCAACCTATGGAGAGTGAGGCTGTTTTTTAACAACTCCAGTTTGGGTGGCTTTGAATCATCAAGTTAGTGGTCTCAGATAAAAGGAACAGAAAAAGAATCCTAGTAGAAGAAAGAAAAGACCCCATAACCTTCTCTTGGTATTGGAAGGACAGAATTTTCTTCAGTCAGCCCTGTGGTAGGTAAGCATGAACACAGCAATAGGCCACTGGAAAGCAGGTTCAGGTACAGATAAGAATAATAAGTTCACAGATCTTTGATTAGAATTTCTCTTCTTACCAGAAACTTTCCAGATGTTTTACCTAAGGCCTGAAAGACAAGGTCTTCTTAGAAAGTAATCTGAGAATAGTAGAAAACTTTGCTGTCCTTATTCACGTTACTGCTACTGATTGAACCAAGGTTCTGGGTAAGCTAGAGCTTCACCGTGAGTGGAGTAGTGGAGCCCATAGCCACCCTATGTCCTTGCTGCTGGACCCCATAAACAGATGCCCAGGAGCTCCCTGCCAAGGCTCATAGACAGAATGCCTCTGTGTGGCAGACAGGGACTGTCCTTGGGGAGTTGGCCAGGACTCGAGGCCTGGTCTGGTCGGTACCACTCTTTAGCAGCCCTCACACTGACACTTTGTTTTGTATTCTTAATGCTGGTGGTATAGTGTGTTATATGTTGAGCAACAACCTAGGACAGTGGTACTATGAAACCATCAGGCACTTCATAGGAGAAAGATGAGCAGTCTTCATCTTGTGAAAATTGACTCCATAGTAATGGGTTTTTGTTTTAACAGCTAACACAGATCATGTTACAGACTTAAAGGGAAAATGCATTCCAAAACTACAGTTCTTGGGATACAGGTTTCACTCTAACAAAGATAATAGTGTAGTGGTTTACAAGTTAGTCTGCCCTGACATATGATGGTTCCAGACTTACAGTAGGTATACTTCTGTGGTCCTCAACACAGGCTTTGTCACTTGACTTTACTAGTGGGCACTCTGTGTCTTGCAGCTAAGAGATGGGGCAGGATGTACAAGTGGAGAACAACACTCAAGCTTGTACCTCCCAAGTCACGTGGCCATGCCAGCTGCAGGGAAGGCTGAAAGAGGCCGGCTGCCCCCAAGCCTGCATTACCAAGGAAGTCTGCCACAGAACAGATTATTGGGAGGTTAGGACTAACCACTGATTGCTATTACCTAAACATTGCTAAATGAGCCCAGATAATTTAGAATTTAGAATAATTTCCCACTGCTTGGCTACACAGTACAGATTTAAAGTGTGTCATTAATAAAGGATAAAGGACATTCACTTTTCAGACAAATGTCTGCTTTTATTGTCTTTAACTCCCTTTGATTTGCTACTGATAAGAGCCCTGTTCACCTATAGCCTAACATTTTAAACTGCTGACTGAATGGTCAGTGGTTTGAATCCACCAGCCATTCCCAAAGTAGAAAGGTGGGCAGTCTCCTGCCATAAATATATAAAGTCTTGGAAACTCAGCAGAACTGACCTTAAATCACTACTAACATCCGGAATGAGGGTTGCAGAGTGGAGTATACTTGGGGTGGGAGTGGGGATGTGCGGGGTAGGGGGGCGGGGATTGTGTACCAATGAAGGAGTTTTTCTTTTGCTTTTCAAGGAGAAGAGCAAAGTGGGAGTGAGTGGGTGGGGAGAAAAGTGCAACAATGAATGAATTCCAAAATCTCTGTAGATGTTCATTGAAATGAAAAATCAATTAATTTATAAAAAAAAAAATCACTACTAACATCAGTTTTATTTTCCTCTGGCTTTTAAGAGCTGTTCAGGAACAGTTCAAAAGCATAAATTTATTATAATTTTTTAACTAATTCTATTTTAAACATTAAACTATCTGCTTATTAGGAGAATACAGTGTTCTGTCCCTACGTTTAAGAGGTGTTTCAGGGAGCTCTGGGGGCCTAGTGGGTAAGGAGCTGCGCTGCCAACCCACAAGTGGGCAGTTCAAATACACCAATTCTCCATGAGAGAAAAATGGGCATTCCCCTCCCATGTTATTTTCAGCCTCTGAAAACCCCCTGGAATACCAACTGAGGGTCAGTTCTGACTTGACAACACATAACAACAGAGTTGTTTCTTCCTCTGGGGTCAGAAGCCTCGTTCACACAAATTTTGTTCACTCTTTGTTGGGATATGTGCTCAGACTTGTGCACACAGCGAAGTGATTGATAGGAAGGTGGTGATGTCATAAGTTAATGCCACCTGCTCTCTGCTTCTCTTTCTCTTCTTGACTTGTGTTGATTGCTCTCTCTCTCCTTTCCAAGATCAAGAACAATCACTTGAACCAAGCAATCCACGAAGAGCGGGAGGCCATCATTGAACTGCGAGTGCAGCTTCGGCTGCTGCAGCAGCAGCGGGCACAGGCCGAGCAGCAGGTGCCTGATGAGGAGGAACCCGAGTGGCGTGGGGCCGGAGTTCAGCCACCCAGAGACAGTGCACACGAAACAAAAGCAGTGAAAGAGCAGCCAAAGGCCATCAAGGAGCAAAGAAAGCCGTCGCCAAGCAAGGACAGGAAGGAAACGCCCATCTGAGCCACCTGGTGGACTAGCCTCACAGACCTGTGCATCTTACTGTAAGGCTGGGACTCGGCGTGCACAACCCCTGTGTACATTCTGTAAAGATGACTCTTCTCCTCAGCGATGCTTTCCTTCCTCTTACTGTTTGACTTCTACCCTCCAGGCTCAGGTTATGGGACAAAGCAACGAAAGCAGTTTGGACTTCTAGAGGACAGATGAGTTTTCCAGATAATAGCAGCTTATTTGAAGATTCATTTTCTTGTTTAACTTAAAATAACTATTTTAATCCTTGAGTGGCTTCTTTTTAAAACCAAAAATTGTCTTTACTTTTTTTTCCCCCAGCCACAGCAAGATCAGTATCTTTCATTCAAGGAGGAAAAAACAGAAGCCAGTTAAGTGCTGTGTCTGCCTTGTGGCTTGATCGTTGTCTGACTGTCAAGATCTCTGCTCACCCAGTCACCCTTGCTTGTGCCTTCTCTACCGTTTTGGTGCAGATGATATGCTGGGAGCTGCCTCACATCTTCTGACTGGCCAGAACGGCTTTCTGGGGCTTTTCTTTACCACTTTATCCTGCTCACATTGTAGTTCCAAACCGCAGTAGGAGCCACATCACCAGGACAGCTACGTTTGGTCACAGACAAAGCTGGCTGCCCATGCACTGGGCCTGGGCCAGGACTGTGGCTATGCCACAAGCACCCAGGAACAGCACTGGCCCGGCCCCCCTCTACCCTCAGTTAACACTGCTCATAATCAGCAAATACTTCACAGCTGAAGGCAGCAGCATTGGCCCAGTCCATCCTCATAAAGGATCTGTTTTAAAACCAGAAATCCTTTTTGTGAATGACCTTTTGTTATGAACAAAAGGATTTCTATTACTTGCTTTGGCTAGAATGTAAATGTCTCTTTGCCTGAGCAAGCATATGTATCTTCTTAGACAGAAGTTCTAAATTACTCTTAACACTTCATTGAGTCTACTGATGAACTGCCAATTGACACAATTGAGCAATAGAAAAAAGAAATACTTTTCTTTTTAATGACAGCTAAGACACACCCCCCTATCCCCACACATACATACACCCTCTTGCCTCAAATTCTTGTCTGCATCACCTGAAGCTTCTTTTCCGACAGCTGTATCTCCATTGCACTCAGTGGAAGTAAATGGCATTCTTGAGACAGGTCAGAATCTCCTCGTAGTGAAAGCAAACCCACACACACTCAAAATGATGGACACAAATTCCTTCCTACTTTGTATTTATTTTCAGCACCTGTTCTGTGTGCTTTTTAACCTCTACCTATTGCACTGTTGTGACTTGTTGGCCATTATATGATTTTTGTACGGGGAAAAAAGCTTTCTTATAGAAATCAGCATACTATTTTTTTAAATCTGGAGAGAAGATATTATGGTGACTGAAAATATGGTCAAATGTCATATATAAAATGTATAAAAGCCTTGCTGTCCTGTCTACCATATTGCATTTTATATTTGCTGGAAATATTAAAGATTTTTGTTTGTGTAACTCTAATTTCTATCAAGGTGTCATGGATTTTTAAAATTAGTATTTCATTGCAAATGTCTCAACATTGGTTCATTTTCATCAAGACCATTATTAATCAAGTAAATAAATTTAATAGCCATTTGGGAGGAAAAAAGTTGATTTTTAATTTTTTAAAATACATTATTTCTTTGAAATAATTAAAGATCCTTATTGCCAGTGAATAAAGAATTGGTTTAGGTAGCTCTTCAAAGTCTAGAAGTAACAACATGCTTTGTTTCCAAATAGCTTTGTGTTTGTCACCCTTACAAATTTATCACTCCTAAGTGTCCAAGGGGAAGCAGGAGTGGCATCCACTTCCGAAATGGCTTGCCTCCGGAAACTCTATGTACGAACAGTGCTCAGGCCATTCGTTCATAGGGTCGCTATGAGTTGTCTACAACTCAACGGCATCAAACAACAAGTGTCCAAAGTTGGTTCCAACTATGGATTCTGGAAACTTGCCCAAAGGGTGATTGATGTTGTGTGAGCAAACTGATGGTGTGTGAGCATACATTTGCAAAACCAACTGACTGGAATTGGTTTGCAAATTTTTCCTGTGAGAAACTTCAATTCAAATGGGCTTTGCCCTCCTCTTATGCACAAATCAAATGGCCTAAATTGACCATCTGGTATTGATAATATAATTGTTATTCTGGTTTGGGAAATTCTTGTCTAGAATGAAAAGGAGTATTTTGCTTGCATTTTTTATTGTGATTTGAGTAAAAATTCATGGAGTAAATTGATTTTCCATTCAACAATTCTTACGTTTTATGTTTTGAGACATTGATTACATTCCCCACATTGTAAGAGCACTCTTAGCACTTCCTTGTGTTCCCTGCTTCCAATTGTCTTGTCTCTTCTTGCCTTCTAAGCTTTCCCCTGGAGCAAATCCTACCCTTTTTAGCTTGTGTGATTTCATCATCTTTAACTCTAAGGAGCATCCTGGTTGCATTCCCTCTGAGACAGATTTGTTTGCTCCTTTAGCAGTCCATAGGATATTCAATACTCTTTGCCAACACCCCAATTCAAAGTCATCCAAGGTTCTTCAGCATTCCTTATTCACTGTTCAGCTTTCAAATGCATGTGAAACAATTGAAAACGTCATGGCTTGGCTCACATTGCTATCTCCTGACACTGCACCTGAGCTTAGGCCAGGGCCTCATACCTTCAGTGTGCTTAGTTGTGGTTAAGCAGCTTTCATCATTTTGACCCTGTGTTCACTATATGTGGATATACAAGGATATGTTTATATCATGTAGATGATTACATTTAGAAATAGCATATACCAAACCTATATGACCGTGTAGGTAGTCTCTTTTGCCTGCTTAGCTATATTTATGTATGTATGTATGTATGTTTGTATGTATGTATGTATGTATGTATGTATGTATTAACAGTAAGATTTATTGAGCTGTATTTTAGTACAGACACTGGGCCTTGTCCATAGTGCTCTTGATGTACAAAGCCCAAACATTCTGCCAATTCTTTAACAGTGAAACTAGAAAGATGACAACCAGGTGGATGTTGTAAACAAGTTCATCCGTCATCTTCACATGGCCAACAGCCACTGCGAGAGACAGGACCTTTTTCATCTGGAAATGGATGGTTGACTTCACCTCGTCTACTTTTGCCACCATGTTCTCATTGTGGGTCAGCAGAGAAGGGAACTTGCCAGCCTTATTTAGCCCTGGACCTAGGATTCTTGGGATCTGCTTGATCAGGGATTCAGAGGCCAAAAAGGCATATTTCTTGGCCAGCTTTTGACCTGCTTCTTCTTGAGTTTTTTCAGCACTTCGACAGCCTTGGCTTCATCACAGTGCTGCTGATCCCCAAGCACACACACTGAGAACTTGGGACGTGGAGTGGACTTAAGCCTGATGGTCCCCAAGAAACGCTTGTCCTTTTGAGGGTCATAGTTCTTCAAACTGATCTGCAGCTCCACTGTCTCCAGAAACTTTCTGCATTTGCGCTGGTTCCCATGCAGGACTTCCTGCACCGCCTCCTAGAGGGTGTCGCGAGAGACTTTGCTGCTCATGGTTCTTAGTGCCGCAATAACCAGAAAAGAGACCTGCTTATCTGTTTTTATAGTTAAGTGACATGTAATCAAATTTATATTTTGTAGGGGGTTGGCCAGATAGGAAGCTCTAAGAATTGATCACTAAAACTGTTGAATTATCAAGTCTTATTTGAACCAGCCTTTTAAAAATTCTAGCATCTAGTATAGAACATTTGCAACATCGAGGGAAGAATTTGATGAAGAGGCCGGCAGTTTCTGTAAACTTCAGTCTTGACAGAGTATTTACTGTCGCTCTTCCCATAGTACTGCAACAGGCACTTTTGGGCTGTGTGGGCCAACTTCCCAGTGCAATTTGCTGGTGGAAGGTGGGAGGTAAGGACCTTAACTTCCAAAAATCAGTGCGTTTTGATTGCTGATAGTCACTTTTGATCACTGGGGCCTGCAGAGAGGACAACTACTGAGTCTACCCCCAAGGTTGAAACAACTTCTCTGTTAGAAGCTATAAAAAGATAATATTTCCTCCTGCACAATCTCCCCCAGCCTACCTCTTTTTGGTAGCCAGACATGTAAAGAAATCTCTATTATATCAGTGGCTGATTGCAGAGATAATGGAGCTACAATTTCTGTGATCGCATACACAAAATACAGACTTGGCAGAAATTGACAACCTCTTGTAGATGCTTCCAACCTTTAATATACAAGCACTAGCAATCACAAGAAGTAGGAAAACTGGATTTCTAGAATGACCACAGCATGGTCATTAGTGAGAATGTCGTCTTCTCAGTAAATTAACTATCTCAACTTCTTGTAGCCAGCAATCCTTGGAGTATCTGGGTTTGTAGTTTTCATCTCCTTTTATCAGGTAATAGCTGTCTTACCCTTGTGTCTCTGTCCCTGTGTCTCTATACCCGGAAGTAATTAGTCTTAGAACCATCTTTATTCAGGATTGCGTTACCACAACAAAGCCAGTTTTCCAAATAGGATTACATCCACAAGTATTCTTTCTTCTGTCAAGCCAGAACCAGTTTCTAGCTGACCCACCATTGGGTTTCTAAGGCTATGAGTTGCATGGGAAGAGATTGTCCACCTTTCTCCCTTGAGCCACTGGTGGATTTGAACCATTGCATTTATGTTAGCAGTGCAACTCACTATAGATTATGCCTCTAGAGTTCCTTTTTGGAATTGGAGTGAAGACGCAAATCTGTTTATTGAATCAGTTTGAATGAACAAATATAGGAGTTTTATAAATAAATTTAATAAGCCCACAAGTTTTGGTATTAGTATTCCAACACAGACAATGAGATCCCTAACAGCCCAGTCACAGGGGGGTAAAATCCTTTAACAGAAACTCAAAGACATTGAAACTTTCTTACTGCCATCATGTCAGTCTGAGACATGGTGACTCCCTATCTAGTTTCCAAAGCTGTAAATTAAAATAGGAAAGGCTGGCCATCTTTGTTCCA